TAGTTAGCAGCTGCATCAAAAAGACAAGTTTAACTAACTCCATGTTTCAAAAATGTTATGTATTTGCATCACGGAGAGAGACAGTTCAGTCTCATGCACAAATTGTAATATTTTTCCCCAAAATTGTGAGGTGCTTTGGATTTTTAGGGGTTGTTCTTGGGTCAGGACTCGTCACCCAAGCAACTTAGAAAACAACCAGAGCTTTGTGTTTAACTTTTGCACCGCTGTATTTTAATTCAAATCTTTTCCTGAACCCAACAAAGTACTTTTATGGCACAAAAAGATGCAAACAAAAGCTCAAAACAGCAACTCAAAACAAAAGTTGACCTAAAGCCCAAATCATGACTTCCACATCCCTGTACGCTGACCGATGGAGGCCACTTGAATTATGCAGATGGGCCACACTGGTGCATAAACTTCGCCCTCACATCTTGCTCCACTACAACCGTGTTAGTGGTGAATCTCAGCCACCACTTACAGTCAAAAACACAGGCTGCTTCGTTCAAGTGGCTTCCATCTGATGATATCTGCTGCCGCCAATAGAACACGTTCTGTGACCAACTACAATAAAGAAGGAGAAGACCATGGAAACTCTTTGAAATGGCTTTTGAGAATCTTCTTTCTTTAAATAAATGAAAACCCACTTACGAATGATGTGTCTTTGATGTTTTTCTTTTGCTGCTGTTAGTGCAGCATTGATTTGTTGTTTTACTTATTTGATTTGTCATAGAACTTGTGATGATGGCTTTCAATAACCATGAGTTTGTTTGGTTATATCACTACATTTCAACATAAAGACATAATGGAAACAACTTGTACCTTTGCACATATAACATTAATATATAGACCCTTATGCACACTGGGTTTTGTGGTCCTACGAATGAATCCATATCACCATTTTGACATGTCAGGTAGGAAAAACTGGAACTTTGTCTTGTCATATGTGCCACACATGAAGTTCTACTGTTGTTAAAGGCCTAAAATGTTTGTGAAATGTTGACTAAAGACTGTATTTTTAGTAGGATATATGGATATATCAATACGTATACACCAACAGGAACTATCTTGGGCCCCAGTACCACTGTTGCTTTAAAAGTTTGCACTTTTACGAAATTTAAGGGGCCTTAATTAAAAAGACTGTTCTCTGTTGGAGCCATTTAGTCATTTGGATCAGCTGATAACTCTTCTGTCTGGGTTGTGGAAGTTGTATTTCCACAGACATTAAATCATAAAAATGGCTCCTCAGGTAAGGTGTTTTTGGAATTTACAAAAAATCTCCACATGTGAAAACACAGGAAATTGAGAAATTTCAGCCAAAATATTAACTCAGTTCCAAAATAACAAAAAAGTAATCTTGGTGGACCTATACCTACACCCTAACGCACTGACCTCACCGTGTTTGAGCACCGTAAATGGAAAGCAAGTACAAACCAAAGCACCTTCAAACTCTGGCAGCAGCCACTTGAATTGCAGCTCTCTCAAGGATGCATCATGAAGGTGTGGGTGACGAACAATTACCTCATATAGTCTCCCCTCTAAGAAAGCACTTCTTTCTGAGTTGCACTTTTTTTCCTGGCACATGCACGGTCGCTGTGCTCACAGCAAACAAAGTCCACAGTGTCACAAAGTTTTGGCTGCACATGGACACCAACAAAGAGATCTACAAAAACCCTTGCAGACTTGGGTAGATGATGAAATTTGCATGACCTTTGCATAAAAGCAGACAAGGAAACCATGATTTAGCCTCAGAGGACCCATATTGGGCTGTTTTTGTGCAAACTAACTGAAGTCTCACATGTCCTCGTGGTTCAGTTTTTTCAGCAAAGATGGTTAATTTCATCATCCATCATCTCCAACATGCAACCATTATCTATACAATCCTCACTGCGGGGGAGCCTATCGCAGCCCACTCAGGGCAAAGGCTATTGCAGGACAGACAATCAAGCACGCTTACATTCACACCTACGGACAATTTAGAATCACTAATTAACATGCTTTTGGACTGTGTGGGAGGAAGCCGGAGAACCTGGAGAGAACCCACGCTGCACGGGGAGAACATGCAAACTCTACAGAGAAAGATCCAGGGTGTCCTCACTGGGACGTGAACCGGCGACCTTCATGCTGTGAGGCAACGGTGCTAACCACCACAGTAAAAATGATCAGACAATTTCAGGTTTTGTGGCAAGTCGAAAAGTTATTGAGGACATGGTATTAGGGACTGAACTTTGGTAGTTATAAAATCCTGGCTCCAACCCTGCGGAAAATTAAAACAAACTTTCTTGCTCTTTTGCTGTCTCCATTAACTAATAACCGTAATCTGTTACCACAAAGAAATACAGTGTTTCAATCAAAAGAGGATTTTTATCGGGACTTGATTTTATGGCTGATGTCAGTGGACTGTTTTGCTCTGAAAACCTGATGACCTGCTGCTGTTCCCGCCTCCTCCAGAAAGAACATACTGTCTGTGTCTGTGCTGGAGCTGAACAGGTTGAGCAGGATGATTACTGGTTAGTTAGATGTTACATAAGGTAGCACCTTGGTCAGTTTTCTTTCCCGTGCTCAAAGATAACTTGTTAGATGCTGGCGGCTTGAGAAGTGGCAGAAGTAAACATCTCTACATCTTAACAGCTTAGTTAGCAAGTTATTTAACAATCACAAAATGATTTTTCAAACTCCAGTATCAGGTCTCCTGTGGTTAAATCCACCACTACCTCTCCAATGTGCTCTTTTTGTTTTTAAGTGCAAATCAAAAGAATCTCAGGAGTCACATGATGTGGACACAGGCCAATAGAAAAGCCAAAAAACTTAAGCAGCTTACAATTATACAGCCTTCACCGTGAAATAAATGCGTTTTGCACTGTGGATGATCGAGACTATTGTTGGTGTCTCACAATCGTTTCTTTAACAAGCATACAGTTAATCAAGTTAATTTAACACTTTTATTCTTTGGAAATGCGTAGGGAGGGCTTTCATATGAATACATATGAACACTTCCTTGAACTGTGCATGACTGTTGATGGAATCGTTTCATCAAGGTGCACGACTTCTTTGTAATAGCGTTCTGAGAAGCAGCTTGACTCGTAGTGAGAGTCAGAGCAGTCATAGACTCACATCTCACTCCATTTCAGCGGGACTAATAGAGTGTCAGAGATTCCTCCTGTAAGTAGCAGAGAGCTGAATGGAAACATAACAAACACAATGAATGATTGTAAAAAAGGATGGAAAGAAGACACCTGGCTTTCATTCACACAGGAGCACAATAAAGCACGGTTCACCTCCTCTGAAGTTCCTCTCGCTTGCCTTGTCTATCGATTGCATCCTGGACGCCCTCTCTCACACATACAGCCACATCCAGGTCAACCAATGCCAGTTTAATCTTGTAGCATTCCTGCTTTTTACCCGCCTCACAAACACGTTATCACAAGAACTAACTACATTTTTAAATTACGGTTTTATTGATGGTGAACATTTTAGAGGGCTGCGAGGTGGAGCAGTTGGTAGCACTGTTGCCTCGCAGCAAGAAGGTCACTGGTTCGCGTTTCGGTGAGGACACCCGGGATCTTTCTGCGTGGAGTTTGCATGTTCTCCCCGTGCAGCGTGGGTTCTCTCTGGGTTCTCCAGCTTCCTCCCACACAGTCCACAAACATGTTGAGGTTAATTGGTGATTCTAAATTGTCTGTAGGTGTGAATGCAAGTGTGCTTGGTTGTTTGTCTCTAAGTCTAAGCCTTCACCCTGAGTCAGCTGGGATAGACTCCAGCCCCCCCACGACCCTAGTGAGGATTAAACGGTGTATAGAGGATGGATGGATAGATAATGGATGGATGAACATTGTAGGATTTTGACACAAAATTAATCAAGTTGAACTAATCTCTTTTATTGTGATTGCTGTTTGAACCCGTCCCCAGAACATCATCAATCATTCATCTTCCATCATGCCTACTTATTGAATGTCAAAAAGACAACACAGAAAATTCAGCCACACATTTCCCCTCGTGGATAGCAGAGATATGAGCAGGGATGATCTGCACATGTGAGGAGAATACCAAAGCTCAAACAGGATGTCCACAATCGCTGGATTCAAATCTCTCTCTCTCTCTCTTTTTAAAGGTTTATCAAATTATGGACTTTGATTTTCTTTGCTTTGCTCTGTGATCCCTCCATCAATCAATTGTCTGTCTTGTGCCAATTTGCACACCATGTTTGCTCAAAGCTTCTGTCATTCATTTTCCATTTGTCTCTGCAAATCTAACAACCTCTCTTTGATTGTTCAGTGTATTTACTGCTTAACAATAAGTTTCCAGGCAGATGAAATGAGGGAAAATGGCAGGAAGACTCCTGTGGAGAAAGGATGTGAGCTGCAGCCTAAATAAAACAATTGCTCACCCATTTATAAAACTCAATGCGTCTTTTAATTGCCGTATTACAGGACTGTCAATTGACATTTTAGAATGTGATGATGTGGAATATGATAGAGACTGCATCCTTAAAGGTCAAAGGCTGCCTCCTGTGCACAAAAACACACACACTTGTTTTGGTCACTTCTCTCAAGGGATATTCTCACCTTTAAACTTTGGACACATCATGCCTTAAGCAAAACTTAACCGTAAACTTTAAGACCTTACGAACCTGCTGGCAGCTTCTTTCAAAGGTGGCTGAGTTTATTTGAGCAAAAAATAATAATCTAGCTTTAAGTCTGAAAGTGTTTGACAAAAAGCGAAGACATCTCATGCCTTCTGTGTAACAAGGATTTGTACTCAGCAGTAAATTCTCGGTCGGTGGTGGCGAAGTGATGTGCGTAAAATGGATTATGGAAAAGCAGAACAGTGTTTTCAAGCCTGATTTCAGTTCTCCAAATCCTGGAGTACTAATTGATTTCGTATAATTGCATATTTCCACACACACACAAGAGAACTGAGCCGAGCAGGGATGTAAAACTTTCGAGCACCACGACAGTTTCTGATATAATTCAGTCCAGTTTTACGCGTGGCTTTTAACTTACTTAAAAGCAGCAGGTAACAACCGGTGCCGATGTCCAGCGCCGGGGATAAAGCGGAGGCGTAGATATCCATGGGAACCACGATCAGCAACGGGGAGAAAGGAGGAACAAGAAGTGATCTTCATGGAGTGAGAAGAAAAGTCAAAATGAGTCGCCGCTGATTCTTTCCTGTGTCAGATCCATATGTCCTTGGGAAAGCAGCGGAGACGCATGAAGCTGCAGCCTTGTGCTTATAGCCTGCGGTACTGTATGTTGTCAGGGAGATGGTGCGTAAAGGGCAGGGCTACCACCCAGCGTCTCCAGTGCTGCCGTGTGACTGAACGATGGACTCCAGCGCGCAGGAGCTGGCACACATAACTGGTGAGGGTGAGGTGGGTTGGAAACAGACGTGTCTTTTTTGCACAGAATCTACATTAAATCAAAACCAACTCAGTGACAGGAGTAAAACAGAGGCTTTAACTGCACTCCTAATTAGTGTTAAACCTCAGTTTAACAGCTGCGTTTACATATTAAACTGTCCAAATGCATCAAGAGAATCTATTCATTCAAACAACACTTTGGATTATGCTGCTTGTATCCCATGCTGTGTATGACACAGTGGGGTGTGGATAATCTGGTCACAGCTATATTTCAAGCTTGCTGCATGATCCTCTGCAGGGTCAAGGGACAGCTGCCAGTGTGTGTTTCCTTCATGGTCAAAGCAGCTGCTATTAGTGTTTATAATCTTTAATTCCTTGGCCTCAGACCTACTCAGGAGGTGTTGGGGGAAATGATTAATTCATACACTCAGTATAATATCCATTTGGACTGCTTGGACTATGAGGTTTAACTGTCCTGCAGGAATGTCATTTCAGTTGGTTTGTGCATGAAAAGATAAGTTATTCATACACCTGCCACATTTTTATATGGTGAATCTTTATGTGGTTAGTAGGTTTCTAGGTTGTATTTGAGGACAACTGATGCAGGTTTGATCCTGGCATTTACTTGTCAATTACATGTCATGCTTAAAACCAAAGGGCTTAGAAAACACGCTATTAGGGCTCCTCACTGAGAGAGAATGGTCCACTGTGGCTATTCACAAAACAGGGCAAGAAAGACACATTGACACTCGTGAACAGCAATACAAGACCACCTCAGTTAGGTACCGTTTGTAGCCATACAAAAGTTTCTATCAAGCTTCTGCTTGTATCTTTGACTCCTCTTAGCAGAACTGGTGCAGTTCAACTAAATTTGTTGGCTTTCTGACACAGTCCACAAGTCTTTTGGAAGGTCAGTCGAAAACCTCAATTCTAGCCCGCTTGAGCCATTTCTTTACCACTTTTGATTTGTGTTTGAGGTCACTGTTTTGTTGGAACACCCAACCACGTCCATGACCCAATCTTTTGGATGATGATTTTGGGTTTTCTTGAAGAAGGTGGAAGTAATCTTCCTTCCTTATTCAGTTTACTTTGTGTAAAGCACCTGTTCTGCTGGCAGCAAAACGGCCCCAAAGCATAATACTGCCACCACCATGCTTGATGTAACCGGCGGGTTGGGTCCGCCAGTCACTCGGGGTCGCTGTGTTGCCATTATGACATTTCAGCTCTTTCCAGGTGCTGCACCGGCAGCGAGTTCCCTAATCAAACACAAAAGCCGACACAGTGTATAAGCATGGGCTGCACAACGGAAGATCACGCTTGTCTCCTGCTGCCGTGTTGCCTGGGGTCGCCTGCTTACACAAGCCGAACGCCGTTTGTCGCCGCGTTGTTGTTTGATAGGGTGTAATACAGCCAAGGTAACTGCCAAACATTTTGCAAATCTTTAAATACTGTTTGTTCAGAACTAGCGTATTTCTGTCTTTGCAGCTGTGACGGCCGCTGCTGCTTCGTTGTTTCTGTTAAACTCACTTAGCTTTTATTTGATTTTATTTGTATTTTTAAGTGGTCTTGTAGTGCAAGGTTTTATTTAGTGATTTTGAGCTGAGGTGTGTTTTTAAAAAATTATTATTATTACCTTTAGATCGTTTTAATGGTTTTACACAGAGGTGTCAATTAATATTTTATCTTTGGCAGTGTGGTTTTATTTATTTATTAATTCTTGTGTTTTTGTCATTTTAGCTGGTTGGTTTGATTTAACATTTTTTCTGCATGATTCGTCTGTTTTTACGCTGCCTTTTTAAATATCCATTGCATCTCTGTGTATATGATTCTGAATATTGTTTTCTACCTCATAATTTAATCACTGAAGCCTGGTTACATTTATTACCTTGACCGCTTATTAGAATAAAGTGAGAGCAACAAATTGTCTTTTTTTTGCTCTTTGAAATTATTTTAAAATCACGTCTCTGTTCCCTTTTTTTTTACTGTGACACTTACCTGTGTGGGTTTAATACAGTAACCTGTTCTCTGGGTAAGATTTCCCAGAGTGGCGTTGTCGAGTGTTTTAGTCATTAGTTCTAGCCAAGACATCATCTGGTTACATTGAGGTAGGTTTGGTGTTCTTGAGGTAAAGGGCCTCACCTTCTCTCTTCCAAACACGTTCTAGTCATTATGGCCAAAAAGCTTCATTTTTGTTTCATCTGACCACAGAACTTTTCTCCAAAAGGCCTTTTCTTTGTCATGTGATCAACAGAAAACTTCAGCCGTCTATCAGCGGCAGGTGATATCTTGTGTTTTCTTCCCAGTCATGACAGTGACACATTTGTACCATGCACTTTATACTTAAAAACAGTTGTCTGTAAAGTGGACTTTGGGGTATAAAGCATCTCTGAAATGCCTCCAAGTCACTTTCCTGATTTGTTCAAGTCGATGATTTGCTTCTTCATATCTGTAATCAGATCAATTCCCCACTGTAGTGCTTGTGCCAGAGTCTAATGAGTGGATCAAATGGGCCTGATTTAAAGTGGCTCAGAAGAGTCAGCAGCTGTAGTCAACTGTAATAACTCACAAGAAGGTAAGAGGTCATACACTTAAGAAAATCTGATTACCACAAGTTCCTACCTCACCACAGCTGAATTTAAGTTGTAGGTATATTTTGACCCAGCAGATTTTTATTTCCAAAAGACCAATAAAACAAATCTTTAAAAGACCCAAGATGCATGATTGAAGTCAAGACTGCCATGCTATTTATGGGCTTTACAAGTGTATTTAATCTTTTGGTCACAACTGTAAATGTTCTGCTGACCAGAGGAAAGCATCACCAAGAGGTACAAGGAGTTCCACACTGGGCATCACAGGAAGCTGAACGTGACCCATGCAATAGCAAGAATAGTGCAGGCCCAGAAGAATCCAAGGATTACTATAGACACCATAGACTCTATAGCAGATGCTGAACGGGGCTGATCTCAGTGACACTGCTCAAAGGAGACTCCACTCTTCCAAAATAGCAACACAAGAGCTTGGCTGGACAAAGAGGAAAGTTAAGGGTCATCATTTTTATGGTCAGAAGAAGCAAAAGTAAAGTTGATTCAATGCAGGAATGTGGCCGTTGGTGAAAGAAAAGAGAAGCATTTAGCACAAAGAACACCACCCTCAGGGTCAAGCATTCTAGGAGGAATGTGATGCTGTCAGGGTGTTTTTCAGCAAATAGGCCAGACAACCTTGTCAAGGTAAGCGATATAATGAAGAATGAAAATGATATTAAGACTGTGGAGGAAAACATCAAGAAGTCTGCTAAACTACCAAGCTATTCATATGTATGCCAAATTGTTTTGTAGTGATTGTTTATGTGATCAGTGGTGTCTTTTGGTTGCAATTTATATATATAAGGAAGTGGCAGAAAATGGTAAGACACTGTATTATTTATTTTGAAGACAAATTTCCATTTTTAACACATAATTTCTAAAAATGCCAGATCCAAAATATTTACACACCTGGAATTTGCTGCAAATCTTTGATTAAATGCAGCTTTTATAATGTCACAGATGGCACTGAGAACAACTGTAGACTGAAAGCAACTGATGCAGGTTTTCTCCAGGCCGTTTCAATGGCAAGTCATGGTTAAAATCAAAAAGCTTAGTGAGCTCACTGTTGGGGTTCATCACAGAGAAAGTGGTCTATTGTGGCTGCTCACAAGACGGAAAACGGCTATAAAGACATATCTACAGTAATGATGTTTCCGATGACTGCTATAACGCCCAAATTGTGTCATGAACTCACTGACAGAATAGGTGGACACAAATGCTTTCACTCAGAGTAGGTTCAGGCAAAAGGCAGGTTTAATATCAAAACAAGGTTTGGTACACGGATAGTCAGTCACACAGGCAAAGGTATCCGGTAATCGACAGGCAGAGGCCAAGTCCAGAAAAAAAGAATCAAGGTGGTGAACAAACAGGCAAAGGTATCCAAAAATCGTCAGGCAAGAGGCAAGGTCCAAAAAACAGAAACAAGGTCGTGATCGAACAGACTGTGACTTGACTTGAATAAATGCTGGTACGAGGACTGAAGTGCAACGAGACTGTGAGACACACAAGGTAACATACTCGAGGTAATGAGGGGAGATGGGAAACAGGTGAGGGAAAGCCATCAGGGAGCAGGTGTGACGTGCCAGGTGCAGGAAGTAAATCTAAGACAAAGAGAACCGATCAGTGACTTCAAAATAAAACAGGAAAGGCGAGACATAAAATGTGCACACATGGACAGAGACTTGACAGACATGACAAATTGGTGCTGTTCAACTAAATTTGTTTGCTTTCTAACACTGACTTGTTCCTTCAGCGCAGTCAAAAGGTTCTTGATGGGGTTTAAACACCAGTTCCACTGGCAGCTAAACAGCCCCAGAGCATAATACTACCACCACCGTGCTTCATGGTGGGTTTGATGCTCTTGGGGTTAAAGGCCTCACCTTCTCTCCTCCAAATGCATTTCTGATCACTGTGGCCAAAAAACTCAATTTTTGTTTAATCTAATTACTGAACTTTCCTCAAGAATGCCCCTCCTTTGTCCATGTGATCAACAGCAACCATCAGTAGAGGTTTAAAAGCTTCCTTCTTGCATGGCAGCCTCTCAGCCCATGTTGATGTAAAACACACTTGACTGGACAGTGACAGCTGTATTGCAGCAGCTTCTAATTCATTGCAGATCTACTTTTTGGTGA